AGAGAGAGAGAGAGAGAGAGAGAGAGAGAGAGATGAGAGCAGCTGAAGGATTCTCAAAACTGCAGACGAAAACACACTTTTTATAATAAAGTCGAATCCGCTCTACCAGCCAGCTGTACGTATATAAGACAACCACCTGTACACACGGTAAGTTCTCATTTCCTTCCATGTGGGTTTGTTTGTTTTGTTTTAGGGGGGGGGGGTTGGGGGAAGGGATTTTGTTGTTTTTTCTCATTATAATGACGGTAATAGGATAAAAGTTTGTAGTTGTAAAGAGAACAGAAAAAGGCTAAAAGAAAGTAGCCGCAAATAGAACAGAGATAGTCACCGATAGGTTGCATCAATGATAGTTGTTGTTCATAGGACAATGATAAGCTAAAAGATTCATGTGCCAAATAGAATAGAGAAAGTCGCCGATATGTTGCATCAATGATTGTTGTTGTTCATAAGACAACGATAAGCTAAAAGATTCATGTGCCAAATAGAACCGAGATATTGGCTGCGTGCAATTTAATTATTGCAGTCACAGATACAACAGCAATAGAATAAAGCACTGCAACAGTAAATAGAACAGCAGTATGTTAAAACTTTGCTGTGGCAAGTAGATCAGCAACAGGCTAAAAGATTGTAGTTGCAAATAGAATAGAGATAGGCTACACTCTGTAATAGCAAATAGAACAGAGATATGCCCAACTTTGTAGTTGCAAATAGAACAGAGATAGGCTAAAACATTGTAATGGCAAATAGAACAGAGATATGCTAAAACATTGTAAAAGAAATAGAACAGCAATCGGCTAAAACATTGTAACAGGAAATTAATAGAACATCAATAGGCTAGAACATGTTAAAAAGCAAATAGGACAGTAATAGGCTAAAACATTGTAACGGCAAATAGAACAGATATAGGCTACAGATTGTAACAGCAAAGAGAACAAAGATAGGCTAAAACATTGTAATAGCAAATAGAACAGAGGTAGGCTAAAATATTGCAACAGCAAATAGAATAGAAATAGGCTAAAACATTGTAATAGCAAATAGAACAAAGATAATAATATGCTAAAACATTGTAACAGTAAATAGAAAAGCAAGTATGCAAACCTGGCAAAAAGTCGAAACATGGTCGGGCCGAGCCGTAGACAACCTTTGACCCCGAGGCAGGTGATGAAGATGTCGGCCAGCCGCTCCACGATGCGCTGCTTGTCCAACGACTCCGCGTACACCGCTGGGAAGATCTCCTTCAGGCACGACTCCTCCTCCTCCTCCTCCTCGTCCGACGAGTCAAGGAGCGAGAGGTCAAATGGCACGGGGCGGGGCGGGCTGTTCTCCGAGTCTTCTAGCTGCCCGTCCGCCATCAGGTCGCCTGGCTTGTCCCCGGCTTTGAGGAACACGGACGGAAGTCGGTCGCTCGTATCCATGGGCGCGTCGGAGTTGCGCTGGTTCGACTTCTTATTGCTGCTGCCATTTTTCTCGTCGCTGTTGTTGCTATTGTTGTTGTTATTGCTGTTGTTGCTGCTGCCGTTACCTTCGCCCTTCTTGAAATCGCCGAAATATTTCGGGTTTGAGGGCCCTTCCTCCGTGAAAAAGACCTCACCCTCGCCCTCGATGAACACTCGACAAGTCTCGTTCCGGACGAACTTCTTGGGCAGGTAGTCGGCCTCGTCGAAGATGGACCTGCTCTTCTCCCCTCTCTCGTCCTCCACGTCCATGTACTTGATGGAGATGTCGCGCTCACGCCGACGATGACGACGATGATGAGGGTTGTTGGGGTCCGGGCTGTCTACATCCATGTCCTCGTCCGCGTACCTAGGACGTCTTCGGCGCCGGTGTCTTCGTCTTGAGGGTGGAGGGAGGGGGAGG